TCGGTTTCTGTTGCATTAGCTCCTCCCTTACGGGAATTTTGTCTTTTTCAGCTGGCCCTGAGAGCGGGTAATGAAAAGGAAGAAGGGGAGACGGCGGACACCGTCGGTTGCTGCTCGTTGAGAGTGGAGCACATTAAACTTCACCCAGAACTGGATGGAGAGAAGCATGTGGTGGAGTTTGACTTCCTGGGTAAAGACTCCATCCGGTACTACAACAAAGTTCCCGTGGAGAAGAAGGTAACGCTGCAAGGATTTACCATTCGATTCTCACTCACTGGTTTGTCACTTACCCTTTGTTCCTGCTCAGGAGCATAATAGTGGTGAACGTTGAAGGACTTCAGGGTTTGATGCTCGCTGATGTTGTGCAGCACTACCCCCTTAGGAGTCGCTGAAGTTTTGGGTCCCCCTATAGTCCTGCACAGCCAGGCAATGGGAAACACAGGAGCTTGTTTTTTGGATTTTGTTAGGGGAATTAGAACTTGGATAGGGTTGAGGTGTATGGGATGCCCAAGGGTAATGGCAACTTTCCTGGAACTATATACAAATCTTTACAGCAAAATTCTCTTCTGGAGAGCTAGCCAGCATCTCCTGTAGTACCACCCCAGATTCTCCTGATCCAGCTGTTCTGACTGAAACCTTGGGCAGAGGATCCAGTGCCTGTCACTGTAGATACAAGAAGTATGTCCTACAGTAGGTAGTAGCTAATCCAGTTTCCCACTGAGGTGCGCCTCCCCCTTACTGGCCCAGGAGGTGCAGGTCTACTCTCCTCCTATGCTGGTGGGTCGGTGGCTGCTACCAGGCCTTGTAGCTGGGCCGCTCCTTCCCAGCTGCATAGGTGGTCCTCACTCTTGGGCCAATGAAATTCCAAGCTTTCTTCCTTCCCAGCTCCTCCGCCTGTAGGTGAGCTCCCTTCCCATCTGCGCCCCCTCCCAGGCTTCTGCTCTCCAACCTCACTTCTTCATCTTCTCCATCTTCCACCCGAACTCTCCTGCTGCTGAGCAGGCTTGGTCACTCTTAAGGGCTGTACAGACCCCAAGACAGGCCTCCTGTTGGGGATGGGCCAGGAGCCCTCAAAAGTGTAGACTAGCCACTCCTTTCCTCTCCCACTGCTTCTAGAACCTTCTCCAAGGTTCTACTGCAGGGGGAAGTCTGAGAGCCAGTCTGCAAAGCCTTTCAGCTCTGACCCAAATTTGACCCTGCTGGTTGTCACACTCAGGCTGCTACTCAGCCCTCCTCACTAACCATTTGGAATCTAGCTCCCCCTAGCTGACTAGGAGGGTGCTACAGTTGTCTTGACTAAAAAATTAGGATACAATTGTAAAGGGGACCATTATCCACAAATGGTAATGTCTTTTAGGGTCCCCTTGTGACAGATGTCTGAACATCTAGACACTAAGTCACATGAACTTCACTGAAGGGAAGGATCGTCCAACCTGGACCCTTAACAGCATAATCCTCTGTGGTCATGCGACCAAGAGCCTAGGCCTTCAGACAAGTGATCACCCTAAAGGGAAATGTTTTGCATTTGGGGTGCAAAAAGACAGTCCAGTTAGGGTCCTTTCATATGGGCGTTCCCTTTTTTTTTTTTTTTTTTTTCTTTTCATCAGTTCAGTCACAGATCGCGGTCTCCCACCCATTGATGAAAGTTTCTGGTATTGAGGCGGTTAATGCATAGAATATATCAAGGGGTCTCCAAACCTCATAGGGGCCAGACTATGGCAAGTGGGAGTAGAAAATGTCCTGTTGTCAGTGAGAGTAAACAATGCCTGTCTTTGGTATTAGGGGAGGAACTGTGCCCCATCCTTGGCATCATTGAGAGGAATTGTGCTCCATCATTGGTGTCACTGGGAGAAATAGTGCCCCATTGTTGGTGTCATTGGAAGGAATTGTGCCCCATCAGTTTCAGTGGGAGGATTTGTGTCCAATTGCTGGTGTCAGTGGGAGGAAGAGTGCTCCATTGTTGGTGTCATTGGAGGGAAATTTGCTCCAGCAGTGTCAGTGGAAGGAACTGTGCCAAATCATTGGTGTCATTGGGAGGAATGGTGCCCCATTGTTTGTGTCATGTGAAGAAATTGTGCCCCAGCAGTGTCAATGGGAGGAATTGTGCCCAATCGTTGATGTCATTGGGAGGAATCCTGTTCCATTGTTGGTGTCATTGGAAGGAATTTTGCTCTATCAGTGTCAGTGGAAGGAACTGCCAAATCATTGATGTCATTGGGAGGCATAGTAGTACCCCATCGTTGATGTCATGTGAAGAAATTGTGCCCCATCAGTGTGAGGAATTGTGCCAAATCATTGGTGTCATTGGGAGGAATAGTACTCCATCGATGGTGTCATGTGAAAAAATTGTGCCCCATCAGTGGGAGGAATTGTGCCCAATTGTGGGTGTCAATGGGAGGAATAGTGCCCCATTGTTGAGGTCAGTGACAGGAATGATGGCCCATTGTTGGAGTCAGTACAAGGAATAGTGCCTTAAGGGCCAGATAAAGGCAAGTGAAGGGCCACATCCGGCCCCTGGGCCACTATTTGGAGACCACTGAAATACATTATGGTAAAAATGTTTCTTTTTCAACCACTTTAAGGGTCTTTTTTCTTTTCTTTATTTTGAATACCAGATCTTTAGATGTTTTCATCTTCTTGGCAGATACGAACCGGCTAAAGTTCTGTTGGTAGTTTTCAGCGACTTGTTGATTGATCGCTCCATTTTTTTTTTTTTTCTTTTTGTTTTCAGGTGTTTAAAAACCTCCAGCTGTTTATGGACAACAAGGAGGAAGGAGATGATCTATTCGACAGACTGAATGTGAGTGTTTTTCCCCGGCGCGGAGCTGTCCGAGGTGCTGATTAACACAGATGTATTAAAGCTGGCAGGTCTTGGCGAGACGATTGTCTGCAGCTGGCGGAGGAATCCCGCTGAGAGAGGAGCCGCGAGTGCCGGGTGTCGTCCTTCCCGCTCACAGAAGACGAATGGAGCTCCTATCTGGGGGGGGGGCGGAGGGGGGGATACGACGGAACACCGGCAATCACTTCTAAACAGACGGCTCGGGGCGTCCTGCCGACACCTCGCCGCTCTGCGCCCTAAAAGGCAGCAGAGCCAACAAGTATCCCATATGAAGAAAAAATATATTTGAAATATATTTTATTAATATTCTTCCCAAATATATTGACATATATGTGAAATGCTACAATTTTGGCCGTATTCAAAATATTTAAAAATATTTCAATAATTTATATATAGAAAGAGAGAGAGAGATGGAGAGAGAGAGAGATGGAGAGAGGTGGAGAGAGAGAGATGGAGAGAGAGAGAGAGAGAGATGGTGGAGGGGAGAGAGATGGAGAGAGAGAGATGGAGAGAGAGAGTGGAGAGAGAGAGAGAGATGGAGAGAGAGAGAGAGGTGGAGAGAGAGAGAGAGATGGAGAGAGAGAGATGGAGAGGTGGAGAGAGAGAGAGAGAGGTGGAGGGGGGGAGAGAGAGGGGGGGAGAGAGAGAGGGAGGAGAGAGATGGGGGGGAGGGAGAGATGGGGGGAGAGAGAGAGAGAGAGAGATGGGGGGGAGAGAGAGAGGGGGAGAGAGAGGTGGGGGGAGAGAGAGAGAGAGAGATGGGGGGATGGGAGAGAGGGAGAGGGAGGGGGGGAGGAGATGAGGGGGGAGAGATGGGAATGGGGAGGGGGAGAGATACATACACACTGCATGTTGAAATGTGTTTTTATTACACAATATATGAAAAAAAATATTTTTAAAAATACAAATCCACATTTTTGAAATGCATTTGCAAATATATGGAAAAAATATGTTATAATTACTTTTTTATATGTTAAAAAAAATCTGAAGAATATATTTTAAAAAATGTATTTTTAAAAATGTAGATTCGTATTTTTAAAGATATACATTATATTTGAAATGTATTAAAAATATTATTTATATTTTGTAATATAAACGCATTACAACATGTGTATGTATGCGTGTGTGTATATATGTATGTGTATATATGTGTGTGTATGTATATATATATATATATATATATATATATATGTGTATATGTATATATATGTATGTATATATGTGTGTATATATATATGTATATGTGTATGTATGTATGTGTGTGTATATGTATGTGTACATATACACACACACACACACACAACCTTGGCATGTAAATTGCCCCTGATGTGACCGGGGACTTGAGGTTATCTCATACCAGCTGTGCGGTCCAGCCGGAACACCGCGGCGCTGCTGCGCAAATCCCTGCGCATCGCACTGTTCACTTTTTTTTTTTTAAGCCAACTTTATTGAAATGTTACACAGACATTTAATAAAGTTCAGTCGGCCACCACATGGTGGAAGGTGGTGGATTGCCTTGCCTCCCCTCCCGTGTAGCATTATAGTGAACTGGGCACACAGGAGGCATTTTGCATTGTTGTGGGGGAGGGGCTGCACTAGAATAGCTGCCCAACGCAGTCCAACTGCGCCCGGTGTGAACAAACTCTTAAAGGGCTATTAAACCTAAAAGCAAACCTTTATTATATTGCAGCCAGGACGTCATGACGTCATGATGAAGTCATGATTTGTGACCTTTAGAATGTTGTGTAGTTGTCCCAAAAGGTTTCTATTTTTTTTTCTTCTGCAAAATTGGAAGTTTCCCTTTAATATACAAGGATGCATGCAGAGCTGTGAGCTGATTGCTACGAATGCACGGACATGAACCTTCTAAGGAATCCAGTATATAAACGGACAACTCTGGTGCAATGATTTCCCAGACCTCCCCTGTACCGCCAACACCACGTTTTCCCGCCTGTCCGCGGTATCACCAGTCCAATAATGAGATCTGTAAACATGACCTGTTAGATGCAGTTGATGGAGGACAGGCTTGGGGAAGCTCCGCACTCATGTCTATTGGAAGGGTTTGGTCTCCATCTGTTGGCCGAATCCATGAATTTCAGGCTACATCCGGAATTCCAGCTGGAAAACCCTTTACTGACCAATTTCTCTTTTACAGACACCCATGCTGAACAAACACCTGCAGTCGTTGATGGAAGGACTGACGGCCAAGGTCTTCAGGACGTACAACGCCTCCATCACGCTGCAACAGCAACTTGAGGAACTTACAGATCGTAAGATGCCTTCATTGTACTTGAAGGAGTTTTATGCTGTACAAGAGTACGACTGGGAAATGTGGGCTGATAATTGGGCTCATTTACTAAAGGAGTTGAGGTTCTTCACTCAAATTGTTGGAATATTCACTTTATTTTTATAAATTCGTGGAGGAGGAGAGCAAATCCAAGAAAGTATATTGGCAAGGAGACAAAGGAGTCAACTAATTAGAGGAAAAAAACGAGAGGCGGGGAAATAATCTTGTCACAGGGAAGGGGGAAACGGCAGGGCAGTGGTGATAGCGAAGGGGAAGGATGTCATAAAATGTGGGTCCAAACCTCGCAGCAATGGAGACGGTCTGTCTGAATGGTTACAAGGTGTCCTGGTCTCAGTACCATATAAGAGATGTATCATTGTACAGTCAACTTTGGATCTACCAATGCTACTACTAATGCGAGGACCTACCTGATTTGTCCAATCAACATCCAATCTGACCGATCCTTTCACTAAATACCTGTAACATCCCCTAGACAGCTAGGATTTATTTTGTTAGAGGCTGGGCAGCAGCCTGGGATGGGTCAGCCTGGGAGTGAGTTCACTACAGGACAGGCTGGGATGCTCTACAAGTCAGGGCTTCAGAAGCCATCCCACCCTTGCAGTAACCTTGAGAACTTTCTGAAAGAGGAGGAGAGGAGGCCTAGAGAGAGAGAGAGAGATCTTTCCACCACCCATCTTTGCTCTATTCAAGAGCTGCGGAGTCTTCTTCATCCAACACTCCTGGATGTGTTAGATTAATGGTCCCCCACCGCACACTGTGGGTCCTTCTAGAGGTCCCGACATCATTCCTGTGACCTACCAGGACATATGAGACAGGTGGAAAAAAAAAACAGCATGCAGAGATGGACCAGCAATCTGACACACTGTGTTGGTTAGCAAATATTTTCCCGGCATCGCACTGGAGGAAACATTTATTTATTTATTTCAGTTACTTCTATAGCGCCGTCAATTTACGCAGCGCTTTACATATATATTGTACATTCACATCAGTCCCTAACCCTCAAGGGGTGTACAATCTAAAGTCCCTAACTTACATTCATACACATATTAGGGACAATTTAGACAGGATCCAATTAACCTACCAGCATGTCTTTGGAGTGTGGGAGGAAACCGGAGTAACCGGAGGAAACCCGCACAGGGAGAACATGCAAACTCCAGGCAGGAGGTGCCAGGGTTGGGATTCGATCCAACGACCCGAGTACTGCCAGGCGGAAGTGCTGACCATTTAGCCACTGTGCTGCCCTAAACATAGCAACAAAATGTATAAATATCCGTGTTTGCTACATAAATGTGTTTCTGATGTGGTTTTTAAAATTGCAATATCTTTCCCTCCACCCAGCGGAAGAGACAGTTCCTGCAAAGATCCTGTCTTATAATAGAGCCAACAGAGCGGTTGCAATCCTTTGCAACCATCAGCGAGCACCACCCAAGACTTTTGACCAGTCCATGGCCAACTTGAGAACCAAGGTGAGATTTCAGCAATTTTCTTTTATATTCCAAGAACAGATCCAACCAGATTAGTGTCATGGCTCTCCATCTACCGCAGATTGGATGGGTCCCATTGAGGATGTACAGGGTTCCTGCCTGACCCCCTTAGGCATCACTAATAAGAGTTCAGTATTAGGGACTCAAGCCACAGCAGCAAACCAGCTAGTATTCCTTGGCACCCCTTCGCACACTTTGACCCTGGGCATATTGTGAAGGCACCAGGAGAACATCTAGCAGTAAAAAGCAACTCCGCTTGCAGGAACCTACTAAGGCATAAGAGGCAGGAAGGTTCAGAATCTCAGGAGTTCTCCTACATGGAGACAGACTTTTGACCAGTCCATGGCCAACTTGAGAATGAAGGTGCAACTCCGTTATTATCTGCATGTTACAAAAATGGCAGCAACCAACCAGATTATAATTTTATGGTTTTCTGGGTTCCTGATCTTTCGATCTACAAAAGACTGTATGGGTCACATTTCATGTGTCCAGAGTCTCCCGTCTGACCCACCACACATCACTCATAAGAGGTGAGCATTAAAGACTCAGCTGGTACCACTTGGCATACCTTCCCAAATTCATATCCTGGGCATATCAGTAATGACAACCAAGGGAACATCCAGCAGTAAAAACCAACTCCATTTTCAAGGACCTACAGCGAGCAAACGTAGCCACAAAGACAAGGATGTGTGCTATTATGTTATCAGGTGAAGAAAGAAAACAAATTCAGCCACCACATCCAAGAATTGGTAAACTGCAATAATTAAATTTTTTGGTTTAGATATGCTTTAATTGTGGCTTATGGAACTGTTTTTTACTCCAAATCCTCATTACAGGGAAATTTCCGGCAGACGTCCATGTTTCTAGGTTATGTCGGTGTAGAAAATTGTATCACTACTGCTTCCTCATTTTTATAAAATCACATAGGGCTCAATGTATGTGTCTGAGAGGAACCTGTGTTCCTTAATGGTAACCAATCAAATTCTTCTTTCATTCATTATCAATGCAATCAATTGATGTTTTTTTTCAGATTGATGCCAGGAAAGAACAGATGGCACTGGTCAAGAAGGAGCTGAAAGAAGCCAAAAAGCAAGCTAAGGAAAAAGAAGACAAGAAGCTCAAAAAGTATGTAGTGAGAAAATATTTAGATCCCACCACCCAACTCTGGGCTCCATGACCACCTCCACCCTGGAGGCCCCCTTGCAGTATATTGTTTTTTGTTTTAACTTGCCTTTTTTTTCTGATGTATTTTTGGCCGGCCACTGGGTCCCCTTCCTCTGCTGTCTTTACTTGGCAGTACACCATCCTAATGGTGCAGAGAGCATTGTTGATAGGACCTCTACAGCGCTCTCTACATTAATATAATGGGAGGGTACGGTGACATACCCGGGGTGTGGGGCCATGCCCCTTAGGGTCATTCATCCTGAAAGACTGGACACATCTAGTCAAGGTGAAATACTGCTGGGAACAGCTATGGATTGAAGGTGATTATTGGAACCACTATGGATTGAAAGCTAAGATTGGAAAAGCTGTGGGTTGAAGGTGGGGCTTGGAAGGGCTGTGGGTTGAAGGTGGGGCTTGGAAGGGCTGTGGGTTGAAGGTGGGGCTTGGAAGGGCTGTGGGTTGAAGGTGGGGCTTGGAAGGGCTGTGGGTTGAAGGTGGGGCTTGGAAGGGCTGTGGGTTGAAGGCGGGGCTTGGAAGGGCTGTGGGTTGAAGGCGGGGCTTGGAAGGGCTGTGGGTTGAAGGCGGGGCTTGGAAGGGCTGTGGGTTGAAGGCGGGGCTTGGAAGGGCTGTGGGTTGAAGGCGGGGCTTGGAAGGGCTGTGGGTTGAAGGCGGGGCTTGGAAGGGCTGTGGGTTGAAGGCGGGGCTTGGAAGGGCTGTGGGTTGAAGGCGGGGGGGCTTGGAAGGGCTGTGGGTTGAAGGCGGGGCTTGGAAGGGCTGTGGGTTGAAGGCGGGGCTTGGAAGGGCTGTGGGTTGAAGGCGGGGCTTGGAAGGGCTGTGGGTGGAAGGCGGGGCTTGGAAGGGCTGTGGGTGGAAGGCGGGGCTTGGAAGGGCTGTGGGTGGAAGGCGGGGCTTGGGGGCTTGGAAGGCGGGGCTTGGAAGGGTGGGTGGAAGGCGGGGCTTGGAAGGGCTGTGGGTGGAAGGCGCGGCTTGGAAGGGCTGTGGGTTGAAGGCAATTGCATTAGTCCCTGCCCTGAGATGCCCAAAATTAAATGTCTGTAGTTGTAGGAATGGATGGAACATATGTAAAGGTGCCAATGTTTAGGTTTTTTTGGACTCCTTGAATTCCTCTTCTGTTGATTATTAGGCTCATGGAAAGTAAGAAGAAGGCTCTTCAGAGAACGGAGGAGCAGATTATGAAACTGGAGGTGCAGGCGACGGACAGAGAGGAGAATAAGCAGATTGCCTTGAGCACCTCCAAGCTAAACTATCTGGACCCCCGAATCACAGTGGCCTGGTGGGTAAAGGAATACCAGTACTTCTCTGATATGACCTTTGCAATATGTATATACTGTGTGTGTATATGTATGTATTTGTATAGGTATATTTACCCCCTTAGGAGTTGCTGACGATTTGGGTCCCCCCATAGTCCTGCACAGTCAGACTTGTACTCCAGGGACAGTAAACAGTCCTTAGACATGTTTTGGATTTTACTAGGGGTAATAAACTCAGATGGGGTTGAGGGATACATGGAATGCCCAAGGAACTGTAAACTGAGGACAACAAGTCCACAAGAAGGGTCTTTCTTCTAGGAAAGCTCTCCAGCAACTCTTGGTGCACCACCCCAAACCCCAGATAGTCCTTTTCTTCAGCAACCTGAGGGATTTTCCAAGGGAACCCAGAATCTGTCACCTTAAATGCACAGACCAGATGGGGGCTTGTCACTTTTCTCACCCAAATGTCCACTTGCCTTCTCCGGTCCAGGGGGGTGTAGGAGTAGTCACTGCTCCTCTCCTCTGTTTAGGTTGGTAGCTGCCTTCAAGCCTTCTGCTGGGCTGAATTCTTCCCTGGCTCTACAGGTGGCCCGCTCTTAGGGAGTTGGTGAGCTGAAGTTTTCCTCCTTTTCAGATCCCACCTGGAGGTAGATCCCTTCCCATTGGGCCCCCTCTCAGGCTCCACACTCTCTTCCTGCTCTCATATCTTCCACCCAAACTCTCCCCTCTACTGAGCAGGCTCAAAGGCTGTCCCAACCCCATGCCAAGCATCCTGCCTGGGGATTGGTTGGGGTCCCTTAAGCATACCCCCCAACTTTTGGACTTGAGAATGAGGGACACATTAGGGAGACAGCAACCTGCGGTGCAAACCTAGCGTGCTGCAATAAATGTGGGTGTGATTAAATTATGCTAAATATTGGGTGTGGGATAACTGCTTCCACTCCCTTTTTACACTACCCATCTCTTTCTACATGCGGTCTTCTATCTGTATACACTGTCCTCCTCCCTGTACTCCTTCTGAGGAGGTGAGGATCTCTGGGGAAGAAGATTCGCCCCCAACCCTCTTCTCCCCTTTGCACCCTGTTTGCCCTTTGCTCAGCTGTACATCCCAACAAGCCTCTTATAATCTCTGCACCCCAAGTCCCATTCTTAGCTAACCTCTGTGCCATAACTCCTCTCCCTCTCCTAACCTCTGCTCAATGTTGCACCCCACTCTCTCTAATAACCTCTGCACCCCAATCCTGCCCTGCCCAACATTGGACATGTACCCCCCCCTGCTCGTCTCTGCACCCCCATCCTCCCTACCATGCTTAGCTCTGTACCCCCCTTCTCTCTGCTCACCTCCACACTCTAAATCCCCTTTTGGCTCGCCTTTCCAGTCTACTCCCTGTGCGAACCTCTTCACCTCAACCCCCTCTGATTCCCTACTTGCCCTGCTTTCCTCTTTGCTCACCAGAGCCTCAGGGTGGACTATTTGTGTGTGGCACCCATGAGGCTGGTGGTGGTTGTGGAGGCTTGAGTTATTTACAGCGCTCACTCTGGCTGTCGGGGAGGAGTACTCCAGATCAGGGGCAGACTGACCATTTGGAAACTCGGGCACTGCCCAAGGGCCCGGGGTCAGTAGGGGGCCCCATGAGATGCCCCTGGAACCTTTTTCATAGGTTTTTTTGAGTTTGGGCAAGGACACAGGGGCCCCATGATCCCCTATTGCCCGGGGGGCCCCATGAGTTGTCAGTCCGCCCCTGCTCCAGATGCAAACTTGGTAGGAAGATGGAAGGCAGTCCAAACCCAGGGCAATCAGAAGGATATAGAGTGCATGCACGGCAACCCCCGTCCCAGCCCTGCACTCCCTCTGTATCTCCTGCAGGCTGCCCTGATTCCCCACCACTGCGATCCTCTGCCAGCCACCACTGCGATCCTCTGCCAGCCACCACTGCGATCCTCTGCCAGCCACCACTGCGATCCTCTGCCAGCCACCACTGCGATCCTCTGCCAGCCACCACTGCGATCCTCTGCCAGCCACCACTGCGATCCTCTGCCAGCCACCACTGCAGCAGCTGGTCTCTCTCCCTGCTGGCTGCCTGCAAGTTAAGTTGGTGGAGCCAAGTGCTGAAACTTGCTGCGGGATACAGTCCTGACCTGTGGGATTCTGGGACTTGGTTGAAGTTCCAGGAAGATCCCGCAGGATCCGGGATGCTTGGGAGGTATGCCCTTAAGCATGCAGATAAGACCCTCCTCACCCCCCCGCCCACTGAGTTCTAGAGACTTCTCCAAGCCTCTAGAGCAGGAGTCTCCAAACTACGGCCCTCCAGGTGTTGAAAAACTGCAAGTCCCATGAGGCCTTGCAAGACTCTGACAGCCACAAGCAAGACTGACGCAGAGGCATGATGGGACTTGTAGTACTTTAACAGCTAGGGGGCCATAGTTTGGAGACCTGCCCTAGAGGTATCAGAGAGCTGATCTGCAGAGCCTCTCAGCCATGACCCAAATGTGGCCCTTGTGACTGTCACAGGCTGGGCTGTTACTCAGCCTTCCACCTAAAAAAATAAAAAATAAACTAGCTCCCCCTATCAAGCTAGGATGGTTTTATTTATATATATATATAATTTTTTTTATATTTTTTTCACTATCCTAGTGTGCTAGGGGGCACTAGTTGTGTAAAACCTTTATCCCAAAAGGAACAAAACTGTAGCTGAATATAAGCTGATTATAAAGTCTGAGCTGGAGTTTGGCTGCAGTTTGTTAGTGTATCTAAATCTGCTAGTCCCATCTAACACTCCCCTCTCCCCATGCTGACAATGCTGGTGTCTGAAGGTGTCCCCTGTGCTCCTTCATCCAGAGTGGGGGCACTCTAATACAGGAGGTGTTTCACTGGTCAGATTACCAGGTGAAAACAGGGAAAAACCTAAAAGAAAACTAATGCAGCCACCGCATCTAATGACCGATAATCTGTAATATGAAGTTTTGGGGTTTAATGCCACTTTAAGAAGTAATCCTCTGGCCTCCCTTTTTTTTTCCCCTCACAGGTGCAAGAAGTGGGTTGTTGGCTTGGAAAAGATCTACAATAAGACTCTGAGGGACAAGTTTGCCTGGGCCATCGATATGGCGGAAAGCGACTTCTACTTTTAGCTCTGGATTACGTTTTCATGGACTTTATACTGCACTGATTTTGTATTCTCTGTTCCAGTATTTATTGATAAGTGACTATGGAGACTTTTATATTCTCCATATTTGTTTATCCGCATTATTTGTCATGCTGTACTTTTTTTAAACTTTTAATTAAAGTTTGTTTTATAATAAGTCTTTGGTTCGTGTTGTTGCTGGTGGAAAAGCAGCCCTCCCCCCCAATGATCCTATAGAACAGGGTTCCTCAACATTTTATTGGACCAGGACCAGTGTCAGTGACATCAATGATGGGGCACTATTCCCCCACTGACACCAATGATGGGGCACTATTCCTCCCACTGACACCAATGATGGGGCACTATTCCTCCCCACTGACACCAATGATGGGGCACTATTCCTCCCACTGACACCAATGATGGGGCACTATTCCTCCCACTGACACCAATGATGGGGCACTATTCCTCCCACTGACACCAATGATGGGGCACTATTCCTCCCACTGATACCAATGATGGGGCACTATTCCTCCCACTGACACCAATGATGGGGCACTATTCCTCCCACTGACACCAATGATGAGGCACTATTCCCCCCACTGACACCAATGATGGGGCACTATTTCCCACTGACACCAATGATGGGGCACTATTCCCCCCACTGACACCAATGATGGGGCACTATTCCTCCCACTAATACCAATGATGGGGCACTATTCCTCCACTGACACCAATGATGGGGCATTATTCCTCCCACTGACACCAATGATGGGACACTATTCCTCACACTGATACCAATGATGGGGCACTATTCCTCCCACTGACACCAATGATGGGGCACTATTCCTCCCACTGACACCAATGATGGGACACTATTCCTCCCACTGACACCAATGATGGGGCACTATTCCTCCCACTGACACCAATGATGGGGCACTATTCCCCCCACTGACACCAATGATGGGGCACTATTCATCCCACTGACACCAATGATGGGGCACTATTCCTTCCATGACACCAATGATGGGGCACTATTCCCCCCACTGATACCAATGATGGGGCACTATTCCTCCCACTGACACCAATGATGGGGCACTATTCCTCCCACTGATACCAATGATGGGGCACTATTCCCCCCACTGACACCAACGATGGGGCACTATTCCTTCCACTGACACCAACGCTTTGAATATCACAATTCTAGGGGGTAAAAATGCAGAGGTACTCTGTGGTGGGGATGGGATTGATGTTCTTCAAGGGTCGAGTGGGAAAGGCTACCTTTGAGGTGGACCTGGAGATGACCAAAGCCATGGAGGTGAAGGAGAGGACCTCATCCTGGGTGAAGCAGGAAACGATCTTATCTATCCAGGTCGAGGAGCTGAAACAGTGTAATGGAGGCACGGGATCAGATACTTTATTATTCTTCGGGAACATTCGCAGTGAATCTGGTGTGTCTGTCAATTTGCATCCTGGGTTTGGATGAAGCGCAGACGCCGAGGGAGACCTCTCCTTTGGAATGGAGAATATACTGGGCATCAGCAATGATGACATTCTTATAGGAGACCATCACAACCAGGGGCGGACTGACCATTTAGCCACTCGGGCACTGCCCGAGGGCCCGGAATCAGTAAGGGGCCCAATGAGATGTCCTTGGTACCTTTCATAGGCTTTTTTGGGTGTGGTTTGAGTGGGCGAGGACACAGGGGCCCCATGATTTCCTATTGCCCGGGGGACCCCACGAGTTGTCAGTCCGCCCCTGATCACAACTATCTCAAAGGCGCAGGAGGCAACGATCTCCTCCAGCCAATGGGTGGATATGACGTTCTTCATGGAGGAGAAGGAATTGATATGTATAACCTCATAGATGCCATCGGCACAAAGATGATGGATAACCTTGCCAAGGATGGAAAAGTGGACCTGATCTTTGTGGACAATTCTGACATTTTAGAAATCGGTCATTCAAAATCTAATGATAACGAGCTTTCCTTTTCTTACAGGAAACCTGATGCAAAGTTTAGATCCCTGATCAAAAACTGGTACGGGTCAAAAGAAAACCGATATCTTCGTTTGTACATTCACAGGAGGCTTAGCCAGGGGACAGTCATTGTTCACCAAGGTATCTGAGAAACAATCACAGCACAGTAGTAGAACAGGTCATACAAATGTACAATGGGTACAGACAGTGGTGTATTTAGGTTTTTGCCCTAGGCAACACAAAAAGCATCCAACCCCCCCCCCCCCCCCCCCCCCCCACCCTTGCAAAGGGAGCCTGACACCAGCCAACACCAAATCACCTTACCTGTGAGCGAGCAAGCGTGACAAAAACAACCCCCACCCCCTGGGTGAACAAAAACTTCCGTACACCCGCCCCAACACCCCCCAACTGGTGAAAGAAACACTCGCCCTCACAGCTCCGGACATCCCCGGGAATGAGAGTCAGACTCTCCATACAGTCAAGCGGCCCGCAGCTTCTCACGGATCCCACCTGATCCCCATGCCACGTCTGTCTCTTCATCCGCCCCTCATCCGTTTTTGTTTTATTCTGCTGTATTTCCTAAGTGCAACTTATATTATCCAAGTGAAAGATATAACAGCAATCGCCATATCAGAACAAGAAATTAAAAAAAAAAAAAAACCTCAAAATCAGAATCACTGAGTTGGAAAAACGCCAGGATTGGACGGTTCCCTGTGCCTCTCGGGTGTAGTAAAATGCCAGGATTGGACGATTCCCCGCGTCTCTCGGATGTAGTAATACGCCAGGATTGGACGATTTCCTGTGCCTCTCGGATGTAGTAAAACGCCAGGATTGGACGATTTCCTGTGCCTCTCGGATGTAGTAAAACGCCAGGATTGGACGATTTCCTGTGCCTCTCGGATGTAGTAAAACGCCAGGATTGGACGATTTCCTGTGCCTCTCGGATGTAGTAAAACGCCAGGATTGGACGATTTCCTGTGCCTCTCGGATGTAGTAAAACGCCAGGATTGGACGATTTCCTGTGCCTCTCGGATGTAGTAAAACGCCAGGATTGGACGATTCCCCGCGTCTCTCGGATGTAGTAAAACGCCAGGATTGGATGATTCCCCGCGTCTCTCGGGTGTAGTAAAACGACAGGATTGGATGATTCCGTGTCTCACAGGTGTAGTAAAACGCCAGGATTGGACGATTCCCCGCGTCTCTCGGGTGTAGTAAAACGACAGGATTGGAAGATTCCCCGGGTCTCTCGGGTGTAGTAAAACGCCAGGATTGGACGATTCCCCGCGTCTCTCGGGTGTAGTAAAACGCCAGGACTGGACGATTCCCCGCGTCTCTCGGGTGTAGTAAAACGCCAGGACTGGACGATTCCCCGCGTCTCTCTCGGGTGTAGTAAAACACCAGGATTGGACGATTCCCCGCGTCTCTCGGGTGTAGTAAAACGCCATGATTGGACGATTCCCCCGCGTCTCTCGGGTGTAGTAAAACGCCATGATTGGACGATTCCCCGCGTCTCTCGGGTGTAGTAAAATGCCAGGACTGGACGATTCCCCGCGTCTCTCGGGTGTAGTAAAACACCAGGACTGGACGATTCCCCGCGTCTCTCGGGTGTAGTAAAACGCCAGGACTGGACGATTCCCCGCGTCTCTCGGGTGTAGTAAAACGCCAGGACTGGACGATTCCGCGTCTCTCGGGTGTAGTAAAACGCCAGGATTGGACGATTCCCCGCGTCTCTCGGGTGTAGTAAAACGCCAGGATTGGACGCAGAGGGTCTGTTCCCCCCTCATGTTTAAGTAGCCTAATAGAAAATTGTTATACCTGCTATACTTGTAGGTGGACAGCAGAGGGCGGGAGCCCTTGTACACGTTTTCAGGCACAGAGGATGCCTCCTATGAAGCAGGGCAGCAGTCCAGGTGTTCTCAGGCTCCGCCTAGGGGTCCCATTGTGGGATGGCTCCGCCTAGGGGTCCCATTGTGGGATGGCTCCGCCTAGGGGTCCCATTGTGGGATGGCTCCACCCAGGGGTCCTATTTTAGATGGCTCCCATAGTCAGGGACAGGTGGCTACATTATAAAGGGATTAGATTTTGCCTTCGTTGTCGCCTAATAACATGGATGTCCTGTACAGACGGGACTCGGGCGCGACTCGCTGCGTCACATCGACAAAAGGAAAGTTTTATGTTCTTACAAATGCAAAAAATCCAAAATAAAATAAAGTTATACTAAATAAATTCCAAATTCCCAATCTGTCCGCCTTGTGTCGTCTGTGGCGGGGATTTCTGACGGGAATGTACAATATATATATATAGAGCGCGGCGTGGACTGACGGCTGAATACGGATCTGTAATACATGAAATGAGACCAGAATCTTCATATATTCCTCCCAGATCCATCCAATGTGAGCCGTCAGGGCCGGGGCGAGGGGTGGGCAGGAGGGGCAGCTGTCCTGGGCGCGGTGGGACAATGGGGGGGGCAGAGAATAGACGCAGGGCAGTAAACCCTACAGCATGGGGGAGGGGGTGCAACTCTGTATCCTTGCCCTGGGCACTGGACGACCCTGTTCCGGTACTGGATTAAAGTCCCTGTTTTTTTTTTTTGGGGGGGGGTGCCATCTCTGTCTCAGTAGGGAGATTTCCCTTCACTTCCGGTACGGCATCTGATCACCACAAAACCGAATACGCTGTTTCATTTATTTTAATGGAAACTCCCCCATTTATCTATCCATCCATCCATGTCTCCATCTATCCATCCATCCATGTCCCCATCCATCCATCCATGTCTCCATCCATCCATCCATGTCTCCATCTATCCATCCATCCATGTCCCCATCCATCCATCCATCCATGTCCCCATGCCCATCCATCCATGTCTCCATCCATCCATGTTCCCCCCATCCATCCATGTCTCCATCCATGTCCCCCATCCATCCATGTCTCCATCCATCCATCCATCATGTCTCCACCCATGTCTGCATCCATCCATCCATGTCTCCATCCATCCATCCATGTCTCCATCCATCCATCCATGTCTCCATCCA